CAGAAAAGGTGTCAATTGAACACACTGTCATATATTTGATTGTTTTCCTGATGCTTGGTATGTATGAAAATAGGGTATTTCTTAGCTTGCATCCTTTTGCTTGGACTGTTTTATTGGGGCCAGGAGGTTTCCTGATTTTTTATAGAGAAGAACATTTGGGTGTTTGAGTTAGTGGTGCGTACTTCTCTCTCTCTCTCTCTCTCTCTCTCTCTCTCTCTGTGTGTGTGTGTGTGTGTGTGTGTTCTTTCCCATTCCTGTTAATAGCTAAACTCAGGTTTGTTTCAAGCTAGTTTTCTGCTGTGGTTTATAAGTATCTATGTGTTCATTCAGAAATCTTCCACCCACTGACATGGCAATTACATTTCCCACAGAATGTTGTCTACAGGGGTTTCCTTTATAAAATCTGTATAATGTGATCCTTTTAAGCAGATGAAGGGCGGGGAATCCAGCATAAAATTGTTGAGTTTTCCTTTCAAATGTAGATTAGAGGTCTTGTTAAAGATGGGCTTTTACCTTTTGAACTTGGTCTCCTGCTGCTCTCCTCTTCCTCCCCTTTTATGGCCTGTGCCCCTCTTGGCTTTAGAGTGACAAAAAACCATTGGTGCACACATGTTTGGCCAGAGCTTCATGTCTATTGAAACTGATTTGAAGCCTTACTAAAAAAGGGTGCTTCCTGGTAGGTGCTTAGAATTTGGGAAGCATTCCGCTTTTGTAGATAAATTGTTGACTAATTCAAAATGCATTCTGTTGGAGAATTAGTGCAAGCAAAGAAGTTCTGCAGTAGTGAGAGTGAGCAGTAATTATGTGGAATCCAGTTGCTGAGCACTTTACAAGCTTCTGACACCTTGGGTTGAGAGAGGTGAAGAATGAAAGAGAAAAAACAGGAGTATCAGCCCTTTAGGTCAAAGGCAATTAAATACAGGCAATTAAATACAGCCTATCTTGTGACTTGTTGATCAAAGGTAGGCTTCCACCCTAGCTTTTGAAATCAGCCCAGGTAGAATTTGCCTTCAAGCTGCTGCTGAGATTTATGCAGCTGGTGGCTGAATGTTTGACACTTGAGATTGTTCCCGGCAGCTTTTTCAAACCTAGACCTGCTTTGACTCTGTTCAGCAGAATTTTATTGCCTGTAGGTAGGAAGTGTGTGAGCCTTAAATTTAATTTGAATAGACCCTTTTCTTTCCCTCTCCCCCCTAAAAATACAGCCTAGGCAAACATTATCCAGCAAAGTAAAGGTGCTTTTGTAAACAATTTATCTCTGTATAATTCTGATGAGTGTGCATCTACCAGGGTTATTTACTGTCAAGAAACTGAGATACATTATTGAGTAAGAAGGAAAATTTGAGTAACAATAGCTGCTTAAGGAGACATGCTCACATGAATTTGAGAGTAGAAAGCTTCAGTATTTTCAAACAAAGGAATGTGTTGATCTCTTGCTACTTCAAAAGGCAGTGATGGAATGACTGGAGTGTTCTGTGGATTATTTCACAAAGGCAGCAGCTTCAAAGTACTTTTCCTGGCTGCATATTAAGAGAGAACAACAATAAAAGCTTCGAATAGTGCCTGTCTTATGTGTATTGGTTTGATAGGAGGTAAATATTAAAATACTTAGAACCTGAAACTCCTGGAACTAGGAAACATCTCCCCATAAACAACCCACCCTAGCTGCTTGGCTTTTGTTCGTTAGAGGATCAGGGTAAGGGTTGGGAAATTGTCCGCAGGAGGTGTAGACCTAGACATAGCATTAAAGTGTCATGTGCCTAGTGCTTCATAGGACTAGGAAATAGATGTGCTTCTGTTCCATTTACAGATGGGTAGCCGTGTTGGTCTGCCATAGTCAAAACAAAAAAAATTCCTTCCAGTAGCACCTTAAAGACCAACTAAGTTAGTTCTTGGTATGAGCTTTCGTGTGCATGCACACTTCTTCAGAAGTGTATCTGAAGAAGTGTGCATGCACACGAAAGCTCATACCAAGAACTAACTTAGTTGGTCTTTAAGGTGCTACTGGAAGGAATTTTTTCTGTTCCATTGTTATAGTGCTTTGGGTGTGTAAAGGCTTTCACCTTCCTTAAGCTATTCATCCTTGCAGCAGCCAATAGTCACACTTGTCCCCACTTAATGGTTGATGAATGCTGGTTGAGTTGAGATTTTTAAGCAGACCCTTTTACATTGGTTCTCTTTCATTTTCTCATTTCCCCTGTAACTTCTTCCAGTGGTTTTGAGGTACTGCCCTCTATAGGAGCTCTGTGCCGAGGATTTTTTTTAAAAAACTATGAGAGGAGAGATAAAGCTACAGTGGTACCTCGGTTTACGATTTACGAACTTAATCCATTCCGGAAGTCCGTTCTTAAACTGAAACCATTCTTAAACCGAGGCACGCTTTCCCTAATGAGGCCTTCCGCCGCCGATGCCCTTCCACCGTTCGGCTTCCATTCTTGTTGTTGTTTAGTCATTTAGTCGTGTCCGACTCTTCGTGACCCCATGGACCGGAGCACGCCAGGCACTCCTGTCTTCCTTCCATTCTTAGACAATGTAAAGTTTGCAAACCGGGACACTACTTCCGGTTTTGCGGAGTTCGTAAACAGAATAGTTCATAAACAGGGCTGTTCTTAAACCGAGGTACCACTGTATTTCAAAGGCATTTCTTAAATTACAGTGGTGCCTCGCAAGACGAAATTAATCCGTTCCGCGGGTCTCTTCGTCTTGCGGTTTTTTCGTCTTGCGAAGCATGGCTATTAGCGGCTTAGCGGCTATTAGCGGCTATTAACGGCTTAGCGGCTATTAACGGCTTAGCGGCTTTAAGAAAAAGGAAACAAACTCGCAAGAACTCGCAAGACGTTCGTCTTGCGAAGGAAGCCCATAGGGAAATTTGTCTTGCGGAACGACTCAAAAAACGGAAAACCCTTTCGTCTAGCGAGTTTTTCGTCTTGCAAGGCATTCGTCTTGCGGGGCACCACTGTATCCACATAATTTAAAGAAGTTAACAATTAAAAGCACAAGTTCTGAAAAACTGTGTTCTCAAAAAGCTTTGAACTTAACTTAAAACCACAATAAAATAATAAAATAAAATAAAATAAACCACAAAAAAGCAGACAGAATTTTTGCAGACTAGACTTTAAACCTATTGGTTTACAAGGAGATTTTTAAAAAAGACTTTCCCCCTTGAGATTACAGGGGTTTTTTCATCCTGTTTGGGATGAGTTCTTTTTAAATTAATTTGACTTACCGGTAGTTCACACAATCCAAAGTTTGGTATTAATTTTATTAAAATATTTATTGAATGCCTTCCTGGACAAATAAGGGTTGCCAACCTTTTTAGCCCCAGGGACACATTTGCGTTTTTGATCAAGTACCATGGACACCAACCTCTCTGGTCGCTTCCCTCCTCCACCAAGACAGAAAGAGTGTGTGTGCATACAAACACAAACTTTGCTTTTCCAAGGGATCTAGGTAAAAGTCAGATACAATACAATAAATATGAGCCTGGAAATGTTTGTCATTCTTCCAAATTCAGTTAACTTAAGAGTTTCAGTGCAGTGTGAAGCCTTTTCTGACATGGAAGTGAATACTATAGTCTTTGGAATTATTGTTTGCATACAGTGACTAAATTGTAAAAACTGTATCTGTGTACAGAATTATTACAAATGCCTAAGATCTGGGAGGTTCTTCTTGACTGGAATCTTGGAGTTTGGCTTATGTGAGCTGCTGAGATGAATAAATGAGAAGTCAGTGGGAAAAGGAGCCCTTTTGGGAGGGAACTTCAAAAGGTGGAGGTGTGCTATTTTTTTATTACAGTTATTTATACTGCCCCCCCCTTTCAGGATATAAATTCTGCCAATATGACTCACAAATAACTTTTCAGTTACATATTTCACCCCGTGAACTTGGGGTGGGGTTGAGAATCAAGTACTTCAGCTCCAGCCGATAACTTGGTTTAATTGGCAAATAGTGTTGATTTGAAGGCCATGAGATCACTGGTACTGAATAGCAAAGGTGTGTGTTGTTCCTCCTCCCACTCTGATAAATAAATAGCATAGGTTTAGTTGTTCCCGTATGCAAGTGCATATTCATTGAAGCGTTTCATACAATCAGATAATTGTAGAGTTGGAAGGGACCCCGAGAGTCATCTTGTCCAACCCCCTGCAGTGCAGATACGGTATTTTGAAATCCAGTTCCAGGAAGTTTTTGTTACTGATTTGGGATTGAATGTTTGAGAGTTACAACAGCTGTAAAACTGTGTTTGAATACATTATTAACCCCTGAAGCTACTTGCCAGAGGACAGGTTTTTGTTTATTCATTTGGCTTCCGTTCTGAATATAGAAGGTGACATACACCATTGGCTTGAATCTAATAGTCCACAGGTAGGAATGATGTCACTTCCCTGAATTTAAATAGCTGCACTCTTTTGTAATTCAGAGGTCTGACATTTCTGCTCAGCAGCTTGTTTTTCTCGCTGGCTTCCACTTATACGGCAGTTCCTTTCAGGTAGTGTATGTATTCTGACTATTTTTCTCCCTTGGGGGTTTGGTTTCTGTCTCCTTCCAGGTGGCTAATGAAGGATTTTGGTTTATTTATCGTAGCTGTCTAGTCTGACTGTCATTTCTGTGTGAGTGGTTCCTTTTAAAGACCGATGCCTCTGTCTAGTAAAACTGGTTTACCTGAGGTCTCTTGAGTGATATCTTCAGATGAGGCAGTTTGCCAGGTGACTTGCATCTTTAAAACAAAAACAAGTCACCCTCGTATCATCTTCCTTAACAACAGTCAAGAAAGGTGTCCCTTTTTTATAGACTCCTGGCATCTTTATATTTCCTGGATTTTTTTCAAAAGGCTTCTTGAATTTTGTTTCATACACACGCATGCATGTGCCCATACGGAAGTCAATTTAGTGAGGAGTGTATTTATTTGGAGATGTCTAATATTCTTTTTCCATTTTAGAAGTTTAGCTGACCTTCCTCTCTCTCTCTCTCTCTCTCTCTCTCTCTCCTCCCTTTTTTTGTAGGTAGAATTGACCTCTGCCAGAAAACATTAACGTTGGAGGGGGGATATAATCAAAAGCAGTTGGCGTCTAAAAGATGTGCCATGGAATGGTATCAGCAACGAGCACCACCGCATCGCTGCTTTACCTTGATCAGTCATGGATATTTTTTCCATTGGCTCTCTTCAGTACCCTCACGGTGGAAGGACTGGACTCAATGTAAGTAAAGCTCTCCCTACTTAACTTTTGTTAGGTTTCTAGCTCTCTCTGCGATGGCTCAAAGCAAGTAACAATAAATGCATTAAAAAATGGCCTCTTGTCACTTAAAAATTCAGAAACAGAACAGGGAACAAAAATGGCTTAAGGCAGCTTCCTTATCCCTTTAAGGATCTTGGTAGGAGCTAGGTAGGGGGTTATATTGCCTCCAGTGCATGCTTGTGAATGAAGTGGAGATTCTAATCTCACCACATGAAGTATGGAACTGATACACAGAGAACTATTTTGACTAGTTAGTGCAGATACAAGGGGTTGTAATCTTGTGAGAGTTGCATTAGTTACGTCCTGTTGTCTAAATGACAGGTTACTCTATATCTTAAAGGCATATTGTGGTTTTCTCCAATGTACTTTTTAGTTTAACCATGAGTTTAAAACCTAGAACTGACTTGTGTAGATAGAACCAATGGAGTGCAGTTTGTGTGGTGCAGTGGTTAGAGTGTTGGACTAGGACCTGGGGGACCCCACTCGGCATAAACAAAGCTCACTGGGTGACCTTAGGCCAGTCACTGCCTCTCAGCCTAAACCTACCCCACTGGGTTGTTGTGGGGATTAAATTGAGGACAGGGGAGAACCATGTAGACCACCTTGAGTCCTTGGAGAAAAATGATGGGAATAAAAATAATAATTGTGGAGAGTAATACTTGCCACTCTCCCTTCTTGGGATAGCACTGTGCACTGCAAAACCCCTCTTTGGAGGAGCACACTTTATCATTGGTATAATCACACTGAGACACTGAGTATGGGAAAATAAAGCAAGCAAATTTTATTATAGGAAATACATATTAGACAGGAAATATTCTGTTTCTCGCTATGTCTCTGGGGGACAATTTCTTACATGAATTGCTAACATTCAGTAAAGGTAATCACTGTTGTTGAGGGACACTGGCTTTGGTCTTTTATTTTGAGTTTACACCCCTTTTTATTCTAGCTCCCATTGAGAAGGGAACCCTGATAGGGCGAGTGCACCCATGCAATATACAGTACAGTGGTACCTCGCAAGACGAACGCCTCGCAAGACGGAAAACCCGCTAGAACGAAAGGGTTTTCCGTTTTGGAGGCGGCTTCGCAAGACGAATTTTCCCTATGGGCTTACTTCGCAAGACAACAGCCCATAGGGAAATATCCGGGACAGCGGGGAAGCGCAGTGCGTCTTCCCCACTGTCCTTGGACCTCCTCCGAAGCCTGGCGGTGGTGCGGGAAACACCTCCTCCGCCGCCACCGGGCTTCAGAAGGCTCCTCCGAAGCCAGGTGGTGGGGCGGGAACACCTGCCCTCCGAAGCCGGGCGGCGGGGAGAGAACACCTGCCCCCGCCGCCCGGCTTCGGAACTATGCTCCGAAGCCGGGCGGCGGGGAGGGAACACCTTCTGAAGGCGGGCGGGGGGCGAAAGTCTTTGTTCCCCCCTGCCTGCCTTCCCGGGAGAGCGGAGAAACACGCTGTGTTTCACCGCTCTCCCGGACTGCTTTTGAAGGCAGGCAGGGGGGAGCATAGACTTTCGCCCCCCGCCCGTCTTCAGAAGAGGTCCTGGACCTCTTCTGAAGGCTGGCGGGGGGCAAAAGTCTTTGTCCCCCCTGCCTGCCTTCCCAGGGGCTTTTAAATCGCCCCGGACAGCGGAGAAGTCCTCCGCTGTCCCGGGGCGATTTTAAAATGCTGCCCGCCAGCATTTTAAGATCGCCCCGGACAGCGGAGAAGTCCTCCGCTGTCCCGGGGTTTTTTAAAATGCTGGGGGTGGGAAGAAAAGCCCTTGGGAGACTTCCGGTCGGCGCCAGCGCTAATGGCGGTCCTTTTTCCGAGCTCCGGAAAAGGACTGCTCTGCGAGTTCGGGTCTGTCCCGCTACGGCAAGCGGGGGACCCCTAAAATCACAGGCGCGGAAGCCTGTGAAACGAGGAGATTCGGTGGGCACCAGAAAGCGCCCCCCCTTTACCGCAGAAGAGCCTTTTTAAAGGCTCCGGAACGACATCGGGGGAGCGCGGTGCTGAGAATCGCTACCCCAGCCCGCAGGGTGAAGCCGCGTCGCTATTAGCGGAGAGCGCCGATTCCTTCCTGTAAATTCTGGACAGAAAAAACCCGTGAGTAAAACGGAATCTTTATTTGGAACTAAAACCTGGAAATTTGGCTGAAAACGGGGAGGTGAAAATTAAGGAAGTTCTGCCTTCCCCGACTGCATGAAAGTGAAAGCAACGGAACTTAAAAGCTGCATCCATTAAAGACTTGACTTTTCTTTTTTAATCAAACCTGACATTTGGACTTTAGATCTCCCCTCTAGCTAGCAGGGCAGAGGGGAGGTAAGAGAGACTTTGGGCAACTGCATAACTTAATTAAAAGAAAAACCCTCTTCTGCCTGAGCTGTTTAAGAGCATGAAACGGTCTGCCTTTTAGGGAAAGGACACTGAGCCTGACTTTTCCTGTGAAAAAGTTACACTGTGATACAAAGTTTTTGTACTGCCTGGATACAGTACATCAGAGCAAAGCTGAGACAGTATCTGTTGGGAAATTGTGGCAATTCGCAGCCACAGTCCTCTAGCTACATTTGCTTTATTCTTTCTTTCTCCTTTTCCTACGCACTTGGGATATTCTCTTTGCCTTTGTACTTGGACATTCTATATTTGGCCATCTTGATTTGCTCCCCCTAGAGGGTAAGGAAGTTGGCACTTGCCTAAGACCAGTGGAATTTCCAGTGGGGGAACAGCTTCCTGTGGAAACGACCTTGACCATGGAAGTGGCTCACAAGAAGAGATAGTCCACACAGAGCCAAGACCAAAACAACACACAACCAGCACCAGCTGCAGCAACAACAACAACCAAAGAAAAGAAGGCTCAATCACAGGGGCAACTGCGGGACTATGCAGTACCAACAGGACAAGAAAAAGTGACAGCTGTCTCTATGGAAGCTGTGACAGAGGCCCCTGCTTAAGGTAAATCAATCCCTGGAGTCTCTGACAAAACAGACTTCAGAAAAATACACAAAAATTAACAGAAATATCAGCAAGACTAGATCAGAACACAGAATCTATAAATAAATTGGTGGAGGAAAATTCCCACTACACCGTAAAATTGCTGAAGAAGCAAGAGCTATTGCTGGAGAGACACAGGAGAATTTAGAACCGATTGCCAAGAAGGTCCATGAGCACGACGCAACTTTGGCTCTGTGGGAATTACAGAGAAAAGAGAGAAATTTGAAATTGAGATTGATTCCAGAGAACGAAAGTGACAACCTTGCGGAGTTTTAACACAGGAGTTTGCGATTGCTGGGATCTGGAGGAAGACGAATTTAAAATTACAACAGCTTTAGACTGGGCAAAAAGCAGACAGAAAGACCCCGAGAGACTGCCTGATTACTTAGATCTAAGGGAGATAAGTGGAAATTACAAAGTTATGAGAAATTGAAACATAAAGTACAAAATTGGCTTCAATATCACCAAATAATGGAGTTTTTCAAACAGGACAGGAAAATTGGCTTTCAGGTGGAAAAATCAAAACTAGAGACTGAACTGTTAGAACCCAATACTAAGAATTTATCAAGAATGTATAACTTGTTGCTGAAATGGAATACACAGGATGAAACAGTCAAATCGGCTATGATTAAGTGGGCACAGGATGTGGGCCATAACATTATGTCAGCTGACTGGGAATGGTTATGGAACACCGGTATTAAATTCACGGCATGTAATGCCTTAAAGGAAAACATTATGAAAATGGTTTATAGGTGGTACATGACCCCAGTCAAGCTGGCAAAAATTTATCATTTGCCCGATAACAAATGTTGGAAATGTAAAGAGACTGAAGGTACCTTCTATCACCTTTGGTGGACATGCCCGAAGATTAAGGCTTTCTGGGAAATGATCTATAATGAAATGAAAAAGGTACTTAAAAGTACTTTCCTTAAAAAACCAGAGGCCTTTCTCTTGGGCATTGTCGGCCAATTGGTGTCAAAGAGGGATAGAACTTTTTTTATGTATGCTACAACAGCAGCAAGAATACTTATCGCAAAGTATTGGAAGACACAAGATCTACCCACTCTGGAAGAATGGCAGATGAAAGTGATGGACTATATGACACTGGCCGAGATGACAGGCAGAATCCGTGACCAAGGAAAAGAGACGGTGGAAGAAGAATGGAGAAAATTCAAAAGTTATCTTAAGGACTATTATAAACTTGATGAATGTTAGAGTGTTATGGTTTTCAGGAACAAAGGGATACAGTGATATAAGGTCAGATTACAGAGATAACTAAGGACAGAGGTTGGAAAGTAACAATTGGGAGTTGCTATAAAACTATGGACATTGGGATGCAGAAAGGGGGGTATGGGGGAGTCTCAGAAAAGAGGTTTATGAAAAACATTATGAAATTATACGTGTTTGTATGTCTTTTTAAGTGTTTGTTTGTTCTTAAAATTTTGTAAAACTAATAAAAAAATTTTCAAAAAAAATAACTTTGCCAGTTCCATCACATTCTTCTTTGGTGGAAACTTCTTCCTTCCATTTTTGTGCATAAAGAATCCTGTTCTTTATATAAGCTGTTATATACATAAACAGCTTAATCATCTTTTTTGTAACTTCTGTCCGTAGAATCCCTAAAGAAAGGCTTCAGGGTTGTTTGTTTTTGTTAAGATTTTCAACATCTTTTTTATCTCATCATATATCACTTTTCAAAATGTCCTCACTTTCTTACAAGTCACCAATAGGAATTTATTGGGGGAAAGTGCATGTCAACAGTAGGTGGACAGAAGCCAGCAATGAGTAGATGACAGCCCAAAGTGGACAGAGAAAGGTCTTCTCTCTACTGAGGTTGAATCCTGACAAGACAGAAGTACTGTTTTGGGGGGACAGGGGGGTAGGCAGGTGTGGGGAACTCTCTGGTCCTGAATGGGGTAACTGTGCCCCTGAAAGACCAGGGAGTAATTTTGGACTCATAGCTGTCCATGGAGGCAGAGGTCAATTCTGT